GTACCTTATAGCCTCATCAACTAATTCTTGCTCTTTCCCTCTGAGTGAGGACATATTCCAATTTCTGTCTTTATGCTCCTGCTGGCGATGTCGAGCTTTTTCTGATGTGCTATAATGGCATCGTGCTTTCTACCTCATCCGTTTATAATGAGTATTTAGTGCTTCTTCATTTTTCTTATTGCTAATTAATGTCTTCGTCATCGTTACGATGATCTTCGACCGCCGTTGTTGTGCTGCCACGCCCCGGCTGCCCAAAAATGACGAGGCCGACTTTTGCAGCCTCCCTCAGTCCCCAATCAGCCTGCGGAGTCCTTTTTACCCCGGCGACTACTGAGCTGATATACTTTTCGATGACGGAAATACCATGAGGGCCAGATGACTGAGTTTTATCGACACTTCGCCCCAGCCTCCAACCCTCCTCCGGTTTCCCTGGGGCTTGGGGCCGGCAAGGGCAGAGTTTTTTCTTTTAACGGCTAATTCCTTGAGGCAGAAACTCATTCCACTAAATCTGATCTATGAATTCAACATTATACTTTTCCACCTGGATTGGAAAACTGTGATTTGATGCCACTCCTGAACATCAGGATTGTAAATTTGCAACTCACTCCACTCTGTTTCGATTCAATAAGTTGCCACAAAAGAATGAATGTCCTTAGGTGATCTTCAGACTAGTATAGACAACACTGAGTTCTCTGTATTTAGTCATTTCTACGAGACGAATGGCAATGTTGCTCGATGCGAACGCCTCTTGTGACTGCGTTTTGTCTTAACCCACTTTACAGAGGACAAAAGTTCAGCACAAACGATATACGATATTTATTTGAATTTAAAAGTCACCCTAACAATTTCAGTTTAACTGCAAATTTATGCACTTTCTTATCACAATAAGTTCCTCAGTATCAAACCTCCGCCCGAGTCATGAGCACCAGAAAAATTCAACGTACGGGAATGCTTGTCAAGGCGAAGTTCAGTTGCATGCATTCTCTCACTGAGAGAATGATTGCAGTGAACGACTGTCACAAATCCTGAAAGGGACAAATGATGAGGATGTGGTGAAACTGTTCCAGATCAGTCACTCAGCAGACTTATTTCCAATTATGCAATTTATCGTATGGACTAGTTTCTGTTATTAACTGTTCATTATATCTCACTGGCTATGAGAGTGCATCCTCAAAAATCTCGAAACGGAAAAAAATGCCTCTCATCCTTAAATGTTGGATACAGTTTGCCACGTGGACTGTGTGAACGTTTAGCAGATCTGGGCAGACTATACTGGTTGCAGTACAAATGAGCTGCATAGGGGGAATACAGGTAGATGCAATACATGCGATGCGCTGGCTTGGAAAAGGCATTGTGACTATTGGAAATAATATTCTATTACACAAGTGGTATCGCGAGCCAGTGCGCAGTCAGTAGAAATACAGAAGGAGCCGATGTACACTGAAGCTTAGATCTGACTGAATCATTAGGGAAAGTTTCAACTCCAGACACGAACCACTTAGCCTCACGGTAGGTGGTTTTCGTGCCCCTTTCAAAGCTGCGGCTGAAGGCAGAAAACGAAGAATTTTACGCCTTGCAAACTCTGCTGCTTTAAAATGCAGAATCCCATGATATCTTGATTATTATTGGTGGTTTCAGTGCGAAAATGAGAACCAAGAATGGGCTAGTATAGTTTCTTGAGATGCGAGATGAAAGATAACGTAGAATGACTGGCAAAACTGTGTGAGTTGTACGATCTATTTGCTGGCGGTACATGGTTTCCTCATAAATCAATTTATAAGACCACACGGTAGTCACTTATTGCATCAGAGGGAAACCAGATTACCATGTTCTTACCACCGGAAGTCATCAAGTATGCCTAGAAGATGTTACGGAGTACAGAACTGCAGAATGCGGTAGTGGCCATGAGCTGATGATGGCCAAAATTAAGGTCAAGCTCCGGTTCTAGTTTGGCAGCCAAACGTCTACCGCAATGTTTGAACTGAACATGCTTAAATCTCCAGAAATGTCCCAAGTATATCAGGTGGTGATCAATGGAAGATTGAAAACTGCACATTGATTATACAGGCGATATATAGACGGAAAAACTTGGAACTTGGAACATTTGCTCTGAGGCAGTAGTAACAACGGCGGAAAAGCAATTGGGACGAAAAGAAGACGAAGAAAGCCGCGGATAAGTCTGGAAACTAAACGATTGCAAAAAAAGCAGGCTTGCCAAGATTGCTAGCAGTTCAAGTCTCAGAAGCGAACGCAGAAAGGAATTAAAAGATCATTAGGGAAAGATAAAGCCTGTTTCTGGAAGAGAATAGAAGATGCGGCACGAAAAACTTAATTAAGAACTTATTTTGGAAATGCATTACTAATTCGACAAAAAGAAGCCTCAAAAGACATCTGTTGCGATAGAGAACGATATCACCACGTCTGAACGTACACGAGTCATCG